TGATTTGTTGGTTAGACAGAGACATTATCATGCTCTTGAGAGGGGTACTGACGTCTGCTCATAAGGTCCAAAAGCATACACCCATAACATTGGCATGACACTAGTGCATGCGCCAGAGGCCATGACGCGTAAGTTAAAAATATAGTGCATGTGTAATACCCCATGTTTCCTTAAATGCTCTAAGTGTCATCAATTGAGACCAATAAAGTAACTAGTGGACTCTTAAGAGATAAGTTATTAATAAAGAGACAGGTCAATATCAATAGTTGTAAGAAAGAATATTTTGGTAACTCTAATATTTGGTCAATATGTGTTAGATGACAAAATATCAATTGGAGATATTTTATAACATTGGGTAATATTATATATTATATGTATATGTATAATTGATGGAAAGAAAAGAATAAAAGGAAAAGAGAAAGAAAGTTGGTAAGAGAGAAAGAAGAGAAGAGAAAGAGGGAAAGAAATGGAAAACTTGTGGGAAAGCTTGGATTCATCATATTCATCATCAATTCATCTTCTTCTTTTCCTAAGAAGTGAGTTCCATTAGATAACATAGTATTGGGGGAAAATATGAGAATATGGTCGGTTAGGATTTTGTGTGAAATCATGATAAATGAGAATCTTTATGTTGTTACATGTTATTTTGATGAATTCCATGCTTATAACATGTTATACTATGATTATTGGGTGATTGTATGCTTCATAAACATGTGGGTATGTGGTTTGGCCATTGATGCACCTATTTTATACGTTGCTAGAATTCTGGAAAACGCACAGTTCGCATTGCGAACCCCAAACGAACGTATCAGTCTGCTACGCTCGCACTGCGAGCTGATAGCGAAGTGGAAATGAACATTCGCCCAAGCCTCGCACTATGAGCACTGAGGCCTTCTGCTACTGCCACCATTTTTTCTGGTTCTTCTAGAGTTCGTACAACAAAGTCAAGGCGAAGTACCTCACCTAGGCTTCGCACTGCAAACCCTACAATGTATTTTCTGTTTTGTTTTCTTCATATGCATTAGTTTGATAGGATGGCCTTGAATTTAAAGAATGTGGAATATTATGTGAATAGGTAAATATGAACACCTAATGTTGTGTTGAGCTCTATGTGATTTAGTTTGGTCTTTGGTGAGGGGCTTGGTTTTGAAAGACCTATCTATTATGTGATTACAAATTAACCGAGAATGTCGGTAGAGGAACAATGATGATTTTATGCCTTATGTGAGATGTTTATGCTTGATGCATTATACTATTTTACCGTATGTGTTTATGCATGATATATATGAATGTGATTGTGTGATAATATGCTTAAAAGATTATAAGAATGGTGAGGCAACCATTGGCATTAATTAATGGAATGGATTAGTAAGGTAATTAGGACATGATGAATAACATAGATGGCAATGCTTGTGCGACAATGGCTAGGTGTGCATTGTTGGCAAGTAGTTGTCTAGTTGTGAGGAGAGCTTTGTATGGAACATGTGTGGATTTTTATGTTACTTGTGATTAAGGTGAATGTCTTCACCTTGTGATTGTTGAATACAATCACATTGTGTTGTGTCTTATCACATAGTCAGAAACAACCATTGACTTATGTCGTCCCAAGAGTTGATGCTTATGTATAGCTCTTTTGGGATGTACGCACCATTATTTTGGCAAAAGTTCCCTTAAATGGATGAAGCCTACTAGAAAAATACTTGAGATGGGGGTGGTCCCATGGGAAGTGATGATTCATGTGTAAAGCACCTTTAATCCCAATCCATTTCGTATGTCAAAGTACATATAAGGACCCGTGACCCACACTAAAAGTCCTAGACGTAGGTGAGGCGACATGGAAGTTTACCTTGGTATGGTTTCCGACTAGTGATTGTTTAAGTTGATGGATTCAAGAGGCATGTTTCCATACATTGTGAATTGTGTGAACTTTAGTCTTATCCCTTTCTCTTTTGACTTGAGATAGGAATTGACTTGAACCTTGTAGAGTCGAATGAACCCATAAGATAGGGGAACTCACTAAGATTATTATCTCACCCATTATTGTTGTTTTTCAGGTATTGTTTGCAGATTTAGTTTACATGTGGTGCTTTGTTTAGATGTTTCAAGATAAGCTTAAATTATGCTTATTCCGTTGTGCATTGTGTACAATGATGAATATTTTACTCAGATCTTAGATTTTATTAATTGACACTTTCTATATCTGGTATCATTGTTGTTCTTTTATGTTTTGTAAAATGGTCAAGTATGTAAGTTATGCCAATAGACACTTATGATTGGTGTCAATACCAGATAATAACTCTTGTATGATATTATTCTAGCTATATATTATACAGGGTGTTACAACATGCGCCAATAACATTGGCGCATCCTCTTTGTGACAATTTTTTTGTTTGTTTGAAACATGATTATTTTGGTAAATAATTTGAAATGTTGGTTATTTGAATATTTTATTTGAAAATTTTGAATATTTTAAAAATAAATTTTCGCAATTAAACTATTACACATTTTAATATATATATTTCACAATTTAATAGTAAAATCTTTGAATTTTTGTTATTGTTAATTTTGTTTAAAAAATTAAAATGTATGATATTTTTCAATTGATAAATTTATTTTTATTAGAATTGTGAATAACAAATGCAAATAAAGGTACTATTGCATAAGAATACATGTATAAAGATCAGGGCTCACACAAAAATATAAACTTAGATACAAATTCTTTTTCAAACTATATACATAGAAACAGATACTATAATATCTTATCTATTCCCCTTCCTAGTAGCCACAAGCCTTTCTCTTTGAGATACTAATAAAATAGTAAAAGGAAAGTAAGTTTATTTCTCTCATCATATTTTCAAGTCATATATAATTTCCTAATTACAAAATTTCTTAATTAATTGTCACAAAAATTACATAGTATTTTTCTTAGTGACTTGGAGTGTTAGAAAAGTTATCTCAAGAAAACATAGAGCTAAAATCGAAAGCCCAACCCACTTAAAGGCCCATCAATTCATCGCCGCTTTGCACTTGCAGCATCAGAAACAACAAGTTGTTGGATTAGAATTTTGAATCGCACTGAGAAACTCAACTCACCGAAAAAATCACCGGAGTTCGTTACCGGCCGCCGCAAACAGCGAGTAAGTCCGTCTAGGTTTACATTCTTTATCCAATTTTTGTTCACATCTCATGTATAGGGTTCGATTCCAGGACAATTTGCGGCCGCGATAGTCGCTCCTGGGAAGGATAAACGTTTTCAGATTTCTTTTCAGGTTTATTGTAGAGATATTAGGGTTAACTTAGGGTTTTCATTAGAATGATGTGTCATTGGTGATTTTTTTGTTGCTTTTGATTTCAAGTTCATGAAGTTCTTTAAATTTGAAATGGTTTGGTACTAGGCGGTTGTGTTTACAAATTATGAAATTGAGAATTCTCTTGTTTAATCTATTATGTTTGGTTTAGCTTTTGCCAAAAGCAATTCTAAATGTGTAGAATTGATCTTGGAATAATTTTGAGGTGTTTGGTTCTTCTAAAGTAGAATTGATTCTACTTTGAAGCTAGAATTTGTAGCTTTTGTGTTTAAACATGATTTTTACATTGAAATCTACTGTTCAACTCAATATTGCATAAAGTTATTCAAAAATAAATTACTTTAATTTCAACTCACTTTTAACCGGAATCAATTTTACAGAATCAATTTACTCAAAATTATTTTTTTTCACTGCGAGACCAATCATATGCATTTATACATCAAATCACACGTTGAAGACAGGGTAGTCAAAAAGCGGCTATAATTCTAAGACGTAGGAATTTAACCAAACCACTATTGTTTTGTGATATGCAAATTAGTATAAAGTGTGGTAAAATAGGGGCTATACCAGTGCAATAGCATAGCAGAATTTGAATAAATAGAGCTATAGATGCACACTATTGCACCATAACTTAGTGGAATTTGAACAAATCTCTACTTTTTGCGATCTCTAATTGACAACATTGGTTGTACATGTTGTTTACATTCTGGAAGCAGAGAGTAATCTGTGCATAACTTTGGTAGTGGTATTCAAAATGATGCACCATTTGTTTGTTTGGAAAGCTAATGCACAAGGCTTTGTTATAGAAATTGTAGGTTGAATTTTGTTCTTAGTCAATATCAGTTTTCTTCCGAACTTGGATCTGTTCCCTGGTTAATAGCATGTTGTTCTTGTTCTAGCGGCAGTTTTTTTTTCTTTACCATATGTTGAGCTATACAACTGTGAAATCATGCTTCACTTGTTTCTTCATAAAGCTAAGTGTTTTAATTATAAAATCTCTATGTTCAAATTTGTTTTTAGTTAGTGTCACTTTTCCTCCAAATACAGACCTATTCGTTGCATATTTGGCATGTGTTCTAGACTTCTGGCAGCTATTGTTGCATATGGTTTTGTCATACAACTCAAAATGTTACATATGGTTGAGCCATACAACTCAAAAACACGCACCTTTTGTTTTTTTTTAAAGCTTACATGGGGATTTTAGCAATGAAAATTTCAGATTTTATTTAATGCAAGTTGTTTTTGGAGATTAAGGGTTGGTTTTGTTTGTACTAATATATAGATTTCAATGTTTCTAAATTGGTGGTCTGAAAAATTTGTATGTGCTTTATTACACTATCTATCTTTTGTTATTATATGCCTATTTTGTAGTTCAGCTCATCAGAGTTAATATGTTTGATTTTATCTGCCTATTTTCTTGTCTTCTTGGACATGCCTTGTGTATGTCGTTTCTTCAAAATTGTTTACAGACAGTTTTTTAATTTTTAAATTTTAGGTATTATGTATGAATTTTCACCGATTACTATAACCTTTTTAGTTTTTTGTGTATTTAAGATCTTGCTCTCGCAAGAACAAGTTAAATCTAAATTGTTATCAGACTTTGATATTTCGGTTGAGAATGATAGCATAACAATCACTGATAATTGAGACTTAAGGCTATAACTTGTTACAGATATTGGAATCTCAGAGAGCATGGACACTCAAAAAAGCCAAGCTGAAAAGCAGCCTTCATCAGCTGCAGTTGCAACTTCATGTCGAAAGAAAAAGCATGAAGAAGCCGCTTTCTTGGAAGATATAAAGGATCACATTGACGAGTTTATTCATGCTTCTATGGATGAACATAAAACCTGCTTTCAAAAAACAATTAAAAAGGTTTGTACTTTGTACCTAAAAGATATTGTTTTACATCTTATCTGCACTACATGCTTTGTCATTTACTGATATAGCATGGTTTTGGATCAATTTCAGATGTTTGGTTTGTCTAAGGTAGTTGCTGAAGCGAATCCTGCTAAAGAAGTTGAAAGTTCTCTGGCTCTTCAGACAGTTTTAAAGGAGTAAATTTATTAATTTTGATTTGAATCGCTAGGTTTAATCGAGTCATGTGGTGGTAATAACCTACAAATATTGTTATTTGTTATTATATTTACATTAGGATCTAAGTAAATGAAGAGAAGCTGTTTTTTGTCTCTAAAAATAAAAACTCTATTCGTGAATTCAGGTACTATATTTTAACGTGTACAAACTTATACAAACACATTATTATAACAGTTGATATACATTACACATCAACCTATTACTTATCTATATAGTAATGTAAGTAATGTAGCTTTCCATTTTTCTCTATTTATAGGGATTGAGATTTGCCGCTGTTCAAAAAGTCCAACAAGTGAGCATTCACGCATTCAAGAATATTTAATCGACTGATTAGATTCAGATGGTTCAAATTTAAAATAGGTAATTTTGGAAAAATTAAAGCTATTTTGGGAGTCGTATGATCAAGATCAAACAGTTAATATATTGACAGAGTGAATGAGTAAAAATACCGTTAATATCATATTGACAGAGTGAATGAGTAAAAACCCCGATTGGAAGGGATTCAAATTCAAAATGGAGGGACTCTCATATGGTTAGAAAATTAATTTAAATGAATTGATTTTGTAAATTGATTCTAGCATAAATTTTTATAAAAATGAGTTGAATAGTATTAAAATCATGTTTACACTTAGAAATTACATAGCCTCAAGTAAAATTAATTTTAGAAAACATCATCAATACTATTCTAAGAGTGAGTAAGCATAATAAAATCAATTCTATAGATTAAAAATCAATTTTGGGTGCTTTTTTTTAAGGAGGTCATTTTTTAGTGCGTTAAAATGAGGGAATTGCTAATCCCATCTTAAATGATGAAAAATTATCTTATAAAAATTCAAAAATGTTAATTTGATTTTGAAAACACATCTTCGGACGTACCCTACACCTTATTGAAACACGTTCTAATTGAATGGCATTTCATATTTTTTTTTTTAAATTTTTTTATTTTGAAAATGCATCTTCGAAACAACTCTATGCACATCTCATGCTGTCCTCAGTGGGACGTCCTTCTTTGACATAAATTATTTTGGAGATACATCTTTATATTCGCACCAGACAGAGTCTGAAAATGCATCTCTGAAACCACACCAGATAGTAATTTTTGACTTTGATTTAGAGATGCTCCTGTATGACAGACCCAGGCCCTTTATTTCTACGATATCTCCTGTACTGCGGTGCTTCCCGTGCCTCGCCCATCATGGCATCTAGGACGTCCTTCATCTCATAGCCATTCAAAGAGAATCTTATGTCTATACTCATCTGCTCAATCTCCATGATACGACGATATATAGGCACCCGACAAATACTATACACTACCGTGTATGACGGGCTCAGCCCCCCTATTTCTACGATGTCTCCTGTACTGCGGTGCCTCTCATGCCTCACCCATCATGACATCTAGGACGTCCCTCATCTCATAGACATTCAAAGAGAATCCTATGTCTATCCTAGGAAACACATCAACAACATGATCTGCCCTAGTCTGCTCCTCCTCCAGTATCTCCTGATGAAATGGCCTAGCCTGCTCCTCCAGTATCTCCTGAGAATCCTATGTCTATACCCATCTGTCACTCTGAAATATCACTGGATGTAGCCGTGTACAACACTCCATTTTCTAGAAGCTATGTTACTTCGTGCCTTATTTGGTACTAGATACTTAAGATAACCATCAAACATGGTATCCATATCTCTACGTGTCATAGCAAACTTAGAAGGGTCTCCGAGAATAAATTGCATGTAGCCAAACTGCCACATGACGTGCTCATGCAGATGAGGATAAGTCAGACATGAATTGTAAGCCAAGTGTAATGTCCCAGACTGCTTTCAAGATTACCGATTGACCCATAAACCAACACGGGTTTTTTCAGCGTGCTTTGTTCTCAATCACATGCTTTTCGGGAAACTTCCTGGAAGGCCACCCATCTAAATACTACTCCAAGTCAAGTGCATGTAACTATGGAGATCTTATTTGTTAGGCTACCGAAAAGAATATGCATCTTGTTTGTTATAGATAGTACCAATCAATTCTTATAAGCTTTTCTTCAACCATGCCATCCTATACCTGCACAACCTTAGGATCCCTCTCATTCCAATGTGAATTATTTTTTTCCTAGAAGTTGCTAGGAGTCGTTCATTGTCATGCATTGTACACCAGTGACCACTCCCCGTCGTCGTCGGCCTCAGGTGTTACATTCCCACCAACTTCCGCTTAGTTCGTTCGCGAACCATATCGTACTAGGAAATGTATGCTATGATACCATTTGTAACGCCCCAAAATGCTTTCAGGATTACTGTCTGGCCCTACAAGCGAACACGTGTATTTTCAACATACTTTATCCTCAATCACATGTTTTCCGAGACACTTCCCAGAACATCACCATCCAAATACTACTCCAAGTCAACAACGATTAACTATGGAGTTATTATTTGTTAGACTATTGAAAATAAGATGCATCTTGTCTGTTATAGGTAGTACCAATCAATTCTTATAAGTCTTCCTTCAACCATGCAGTTCCATATCTGCACAACCTTAGGATCCCTCTCATTTTGATATGAATTTGATTTTTTTTCCTAGAACCTGCCAGAAGCTTCTCATTGTCATGCCTTATGCACTGGTGATCACTCCCCGTCGTCGTCGGCCTCGAGTGTTACAACAACCATCTTGAGTAAAAGACTATGTCGTCAAAGGGACACATCTCGTGGTTAGTGACATACACCTAAAAGTGTATATCCTCTGCCTCCAAGCGATCACAATACACTCTGTATGGCACCACCCCCTAATTCCCTCTGAGCGAGATGAATGCAGAAGTACAAGACATATCCTTAGTGTAGGTCGGAGCATATGACTGGCCGAATATGCTTGGGAAGTGCTAGAGGATCCAAGCCTGAAAATTATAGATATGAATCATTAGTAACAACGTAGCAAAATGATACACAAACACTAACAGATGCCGAAATATTACTTTTAACAATATGGTGCTTCATGTCATCTATTTGATCTTTCATATACAATCTTCAGCTAACTTGGAGTACAAGTAGACAAAACAAACAACCCCTAAATTGTACTCATGGATCATCTCTAAGTTATTGAAGTATCACAGGTATACAAAATCCACATAAGTGACTCTCTTGTCCACAAAAATGGATGTGCCAACCAGATACAACAAGTATGCTTTATGCTGTTCAACTTGCTCATCATCACTAAAGACCTGCTCTACTACATGCAATCGCTTTTCCAAGAATTAAAATCTAGCATGAGCCCCTCAGGCGGATTCTAACTTATGGCATCCCCTAGGCTAACTCCCAAATAGTCTACCATCACCTCCAGTGTGTTATCTCTGTTAATCCTTTAGTAGTTGAGCAATATCCCCAATATTGGAAGATGTAGCAGGCATGAGACATCATCCAATGTGATAGAATTCTCACCATGTAGAAGATGAAATGATAACGCCTCAGAGTGTCATCTCTCTACAAATTCAGGCATAATACCATGGTTAACCATTACATGATTAATCATGCACAAGTCTCTCAGCCCAAATAGTTGCATCACATACTGAAACCACTACTCATTGGGTTGTGGTAGATCCATAATCTTTTGGTCATGGTTGATGCGTTTTAGAGCATCACGGTCCTGCAGAAAAATAGATCATCGCAAACTTCAAATATTATAACAAACATGATTTTTAAAGAACAAATACAAATAAATTTTACCTCTTCATCTCAGACATGTTTTGCAGTATGGTCTGTGTATAGAGACATCAACGATAAGTCTTCCAGGTCTCTTCCAAACCCCTTGGGTGCATACGAAGCCTCGGGTGCCTTTAGTTCCTATGGTGCGAGAGTAGGTGACACATGTCTCATACGAAAATATGAAGGCGAATATGTATTATCCCTAGAAGTTGGCACCCTTGCATCAACCGGGTTAGAAATGACATGTGCCTGCGATGATCGAGCTCTTTTCCCCAAATCAATGCATGTTGCGCAACTCTGTTGTTCCTCTATCTATCTTGGTTATCAACCATAATGCTTGTAAGTAAATCACACAAACATTATACATAAGAAATACAATGAGGCCAAGACAAAAAATGTAGACTGATAAATTCCAAAGATGCATCTCCGGATTCTAAAAATTAAAACATTAGAAAATTCCGGAGATGCATCTGTGTAAGGTTTTGTAACTCAGAAGACTGTTAATGGCGAAAATGCAATCCATGCAAATATTTAAAATAATGCATTGATAATTTAAACTATCTATCAGACACATTACTCATTTAAATAACATATCTAAATTGCCTATTACATAATCTAATGCTAAATTTCTACAAATATACATAAAAATAAAAAACTTACTAAATGTGAGTTAAAATTTGATGTTGAGGAAACTCTTTGATCGATTTGATATTGATAGAAAAAGCTTTGAAGTAGTTGAATGATTTTGAAAGAATGTGAGTTGAGAGAGTTTTAGACTTGAGAAGTTGAGAATTTGAAAGAATATTTTAAAAAGTGAAAAAGAAGAAAGGATCTAACACCTTTTTTATTAAAATAACGTTCAAAAATACATACAAATTCTAAAAGTATTTTTAATTTTTTTTATGAAAGTGTGGTAACAATCTTTAAGATGCATTAAAAAATTCTCTAAAATGAAATCAAACCTATTATGCAAAGTAAATTACTCTTTGACCTTTTATCTAAAATGAAACCAAACCTATTATGCAAAGTAGATTACTCTTTGACCTTTTAGCTTTGATTGTTGGTATATATTCCCTCATTTTCATACACCCTTAGGACACCTTCGTATGTAGCCTTAAGGTGAGAGATATTGATTAGTTTATTTTTTTAATTTTTATTTTAGACGTGAGAGAGAATAAATGTCAATTGTGTTGAGTGGATGGATAAAATATGAGTGTTCATTAAAATTTTGCTTTTGTATTTTTAGGCCTCGCTCATTTTTTATTTTATTTTTAAAT